CGGGGCAGTGCCACTGACTGAAGTGTCTTTAGGCCATTCCCAAAGGGGGGACATTTCTCGTTCAAGCACAGGAGAATTGTAAATGGGCTGAATCATATCACACTCATAACTGTGCCTGATCTACAACAGGGAACTACTGCTTTTTCTTTCCTGATCCTTACTATTGTCATTTTCCTCTACTTCTTTTGTATGTTTGTCACTTTCTTGAGACCTGCTATCTCCGGGATGCCTTGATAGTCGAAGCAGACTTTGTGCTGTTGAAACTAGAGAGGTGAGCAGGTCTGATTTCCTGTTAAGACTTCTCTGTTGACACCCACCCCTTGGCGCTCATATGACCTTATGCAGTTGTGAGCGCTGTAAAACCTCTACTATAAAAAATAGATGGTTCACTACGGTAAAGTGTGATTATCATGCTATAGGAGTCTAATAGAATAAACTATTGACACCACGAATATTGGCGTGCATTCACTGCCTGAGCACCAACTCACAAAGCGATAATATGACCTTACGTAGTTGCGAGCGCCGTAAAACTTTCACCGAACTAAACATAATATTACCAAAACCAGATACGCACTGACAAGCAGACACACAGATTGTACTCACCATGGGTCCCAGATCTCCTTTCCCGCCTCTCTCTCCCGGAAGCCCCGGCCGACCAGGCAGACCTGAGAAAGATAACAAGAAGGGAAAAGTTACTTGTTTGTTTTAGTTTAAGTAACAGTTTTACGGCACTTGCAAAACAACAAGGTCATAGAAGTTCCGAAGAATAGATGTGTTGCAAGAGAGTAACATACACAAAAAAAAGAAGGAAGGGAGAAAACGGACGATAGATGTATGATAGGCAAAGAAGGAGACAACCACACCAGAACACTCACCAACCACCCATGAAAAGTTACTAGAAATTCTCACAAATACAAAATTTGAAAAGAGACAGCCTGACGTTTCTTTTTCAAAAATAAATATACAATTTAAATACTTTAGAAGGCAGGCTTCGACCCTGCCTGTTAAAATCAACCCAGGCTGAGAGAGATATTGCATAAAAATATTATCCCCACTTAGGAATTGAACTCAGGTCTTCTGCTTCAGACAATTAAGCCAAACCACAACACGACAAATGCTGGTGAACAGGGTAAAACAAGTACATACCAAAAAATAAAAAATAAAATACATCTAGCTTTATTGGAAAATTACAGAATAAGTACGAAACAAATCTACAAACATTCAAAAAAACAAATAAACAAACAAAAGAACAAATAAACAAACAAACAATCGATCGAACAAATAGACAAACAAACAAAC